TAAATAAATAAATAATATATATATATATATATATATATATATATATATTTGCCTTGTAGGTGTAGGCAGAGTGGTTGGAGGAAAGGCTGTGTATGGGAACTTGGGGCCATGCTTCCTGACTTCCAAGTAGTTTTAATTATCATGTTCTAATGAGTCTCCCTGGTTTTTAAGCATATGTATACTTCCAGCTTTAACACTCTATCCGGGAACATACTGTAAATGCACTGAATGCAAGGGATGATTACACAACTCAAACATTCAGACCATTAGCTTGCACTATATATAAGGATTACAAAAACTTTGTTTCAAACATTTCCTCTTGGCACATACTCAATTACAGTATTATAATTGAGTGGAAGTATTTCCTCTTATGTACAAGAAGGTTAAAATAAAATCTCTCATTGAGGACTGGAGAGATGGATCCCTAGCTATTGAGGTCCCCCCCCCTTTTTTTTTCTGGGCTATGCTTTAGGTATAACTAAGATCTATTTTTTTTCTAGTGTTACCTAAGTGTCTTTCATTGTATGGTGAAAGAACAAATTTGTGTAACACGCTTGAGCGCATACTTGATTCATGGAAGTTTGCTTTCTTTATGCTTGGACACTGCCTTTGGGTTTTAGTCCATAATTCTAGAGTCATCTCTTTATTGCTTCTCAGATCTGTTTTCACAGTGCAAAGGCAGGAGCAAATGGCTCCAATATCCTATTTGGCCAATAAGTAGAATAAGAAAGATTGTTTTCCCATCATCTGTCTGTTTCTAACCAAATGCAAGTTCTTAGCTAACCTATTTCTTCTTTCTCCTCATTCATGGTAAAGCTAGTGAAACTGCAACATCATATCAGGACTCTTGGTGTGAAGTAGTTTAGCTTCCTACAGAGGAGGCAACTGCATTTAAAGCTTGTACAGTTGCTTTTGAATGTGTAAGTGCTGAGTATGTTATCCTGAGGGGATTCTATGAAATGGCGGGGTGTGTGTGTGTAAGAGTTACTCTTTCCACTTTTTAAAGTTTTCTTTCACCACTGCAGCAAATACCAGGAGCAAATGCCAAATAGCTACTGGTGGGGGGGAATATTCTGCCACTCTGTCCTGTACAAAACAGTTTCCATTCATATTTTAGGACATCACCAATGGTTCTGAGCTTCAGACAATCAAAACTCTCCTGCAGACCCTCCTTCCATACTCTCTTGATTTTTGTAACCTGTTCCTCTCAGCCCTGAGTATGCGTGCTCTCTCTCTCACATCCATCCCATATAACATAAACCTGTTTAGATTCTTAGTCGTTTATTGCTCTGATCATATCACCTTCCTGCTTTTGGAATCTTTCTAGTGGCCCCATTTCACCACTTCAAGCTTCTTGTCCTCACCTTTCATGCCCTTCACAACTTTGCCTCTGCTTGCTAACTCTCTTATGTCATCCTCTACCACATCCAGTTAGCAAATCATCCCAGTCAGATGTCTTTTGTCATCTTCACCCACAAAGGTCTCTACTTCTTCTGTGCGTACAGGATAGACTAGAACACTTCCTTGAAGGCCAATAATCTCTCCTGCAAGACCCACATGTATCACACTGTCTGTCTTTAAGAAATCATCCAATTAAGAGAGGCTAGGGTGCAGGGCAGATGAGAATCAATGATGCTTGAATTTTAAAAGCACATGAATATTTGATTCTCTCCTCCTCCTTTGTATGGCACTTTTTTCCCTTCAAATTATGAGCCCATTATGGTATGAACAAGTCTTCATTTTGGGTTTGGATAGCACCTAGCACGATGGGACACAAGTGCATTTAATAAATATTTAAATAACAGTAGTTAATCTAGCCTCTCAGAGGGACCACATGCAGAATTTCAGTACCTACCCTAGCAGCTAGAACAGAATTCAGCACTGCAGTAAAAACTTCCATATGTGAATCCCCACTCCACCACTAGAGTTAGAACACACAGTAGCCAGCAAGCATCCTATTCCGAAGTTACTAGAGCTAAGGTAGAAAGGAACTGGAGATGGCCCCGGACAAAGCAGAGTGTGTTTCAGTTCAAATGTGTTTAGGGAATAGTTAGAAAGCTTTATTGATCAGCCAACTGAAAAATGAGTGGCCTGGAGCTATGCAATAGTTTTTGAGGGATGAGTGAATCTATAAAGTATACTAATCTGTAATGACGGTGCTGCTTATATAATAAGAATACTCAGCACTTCTATACACTTTCCCTCCAAAGATCTCCCTAGCTACTGTACAAAAGAATGTTTAAAAAAAATTGGCCACCCTTGTACCAATTTGATTAACAATGCTAATGAGTTATGTACCTAGCATTATTTATTCTTCTGCATTAGAATTGTTACCTGTTCTGATATTTTTCAGGACTCAGTAGGACTGTTATACAAACTGGACAAGTAGGATGTGAAGTTTCCTCAACTACTATAAGCACTAATCTCATGTCATCATATTTTAGGCATCATTTTCACTATGAAAAAGTTAAGTATAGTTAACTAATGTGAGTTAAAATCATAGTGAAGATATGGTAGGTCATAGGTTTTTATATGACCTGTCAGGGTAAATTAAAGATTTATTGTTTCTTCCTATTTCACCCTGCTAATTCATGTGATGACTACAGCCTAGGTCCAGGGAGGCAAGAGCCTACTTTCTTGCATGGTGAAAACGCATTGCAGAGGTGCTATCCCTTCTATCGTTGCTGGGATGTTTTGGACACATTCCAGGGGGTGGGTACAGGAAACTTATTTGGGGCTGTACAGTAGCAAGACCGCACTTTCAGGAGGTAACTTCAGCTGTGTGCTCACTATCTTGTTGCAGTGTGACATTTGGCCCTGTTGGCATGAACGCTAAAAGATGCAAACCTCTTCCCTGGTGAGCCATCTGTGCTGCAGCTTTGTCCCTGCCAACCTGTGCTGGTTGGCAGGTTGGGAATATGCCCCTCTCTTGCCCCAGCTGTGGGAGGGGGGACAGCCCAGAAGTCTATCAGGAGGAGGATGGTCACCTCCCCTCTGGCTGCGTCTGGGCCTAGGGAGCATCCCGAGCTCGCTGCCCGATCCAGCCCCAGCCCCAGCTACCCACCCCAAGGCCTTCCTCGCTGCGCCGGGGCGGAGCTAGGGCCTGGGCGTGGCCTGTGACCTCACACAAGGGGCGGGGCGGGTCGCGTCGCGCTGGAAGCAGGCTGCAGCCGCTCGTGCACCCAGTCGCGCCCCTCGCCCGCGGTGGCTCGTGCAGCTCCTTGCGCACCTGCGTGGCCGCGCCCCTCCAGCGCTCCCTCCCCCCGGGACCCGAGGCGGGGGGCGAGCGGCCGAGGCACCCCCCGGTGGGGCTGCCGGGCTCTGGTTTCGGGGTGCGGGGCTGGCGGGCGTGCGCGGGTCCCCGGCCGTTGGACCCTCCGGCGGCATGGCGGGGCTGAGGAGCCGAGCCGCCGGGCGGAGCAGCGGGAGTGCCGGCGACAAGGTGAGCGTGGGGGCGCGGCCCGGCGGGGGCGGGGGAAGGAAGAGGGGCGAGGTGACTCTCTGCGTGGCCTCTGGCCGGCCGGCTCGCTCCCTCCGCCTGGCAGCCACCGCGCCCCTTTCCCCGCCGGCCCTGATGGCTGTACCGGGGGCGGGGATGGTGAAAGGGAAGGGTGGTTCCTACACCCGCTCTCCCTGCTCCCCCACACATCACCTTACCCTGGGATGGGGGGAGGAGGAGGAGATTTATCTCCTCCCTAACCTCCCCTCCCCCCCCCCCCAATTATGAAATTGCTGTTCAGTCACGACAGGGTCACACTCTAATTTGCACCAGCTGGCACCTTCCCTTAAAGTCTGTGCACTGCTGGTGGGGCGGGTAAGGGTTCCCTGCTCTTCCACGGTCCCTCTCCCTGCCTCTTTCCACGCAGGCCTGAGAGGTTGAGAGTAGATTTAGAAGAGTATTCAGTTCCTTTCTGGTTCTACAGCAAGAGGCCGGTCGGTGGTTGCTTCACTACCTGCAGTCTTCATTCATCCTGGCGGATTGTTTCCTGCAGTTAATCACTCCTCCCGCTTCAGTGCATAAAGTAGTTTGGGAGACATAAACTGCAAATTCAGGGATCTATTGACCTGGTATGTTGGGAAGGAAGAAAAACATTTACTGCTGAACCTGCCCTAGCTAAAGGTTGTCAGCCCTTCCATGGCAACTCTCTATATTTTATGGTTTTATAACTCTGATAAACATTTACTTCTGGACTCTAATGTGACTTACAGTATAACATTGCTGTTGAGGGAAAAAAGTTTTCAAAATATTAAGTCTCTGTGTAGCAGTGTTCATTATATTGGCAACTCTTACCCCTTTCCCCAAATGATGCAGTTTTGTTCACCACTCTAAAACAGATTTAAAAAACAGAATGATTATCATTATGACTAAAATTAAAAGGACACTCTAATTTTGAAAAATACAGTAGTTGTGTAAATGTTTTTTTTTGTAATTTAAAACCACTTTGGATTTAAACATTCAGTGTTTGCAACCTAAACATCCCAGCATTTTTCTAATGTAGGTGAACTAGACAGTGAAACTGACTAGTGTTTTTGTTTTCACTTGTCCCCTTGAACAATATTAGCAAGCAAATCATGAAAAACAAACAAACATAACTCATTCAAAAAGAGTCAGTGTTGGGTAGCATAAACTGAAGGTGTAAGCCAAGAAGAAAGCTAAATGAAGTAATGACTTACTGGGAGTCTGTAGCAATCTGCCCAAGAGGCTTTCTTTTATTTTTCTTAACATGCCCAATTCTTTCAACCTTTTTCCATAGGTCATTTTTTAAAAAATAAACTTATTTTTCTTGCTCTCATCTGGACTTCCTCCAGTTTGTCCACCTCTCCCTTAAAGAGCAGTGCACAAAACTGGACACAGTACTCCAGCTGAGGCCTCACCAGTGCCAAGCAGAATGGAACAGTTACCTCCCATGTCTTAGCTACAGCACTACTGTTATTACATCCCAGAAAGATAGATATTTGCCTTTTGCAACATCACTTTGACTCATTCAGTTTGTGATCCACTGTCACCCACAAATCCTTTTCTGCAGTATTGCTTCGTAGCCAATTATTCTCCATTTTGTATTTATGCATTTGATTTTTCTTTTGTAAGTGCAATACTCTGTATTTGTAGAGTCAGACACAGATGTTGAGATTCAGCACAGAATCTGCTGTGCCAGCCCTGCCTTTGGCAGACTGTTTCGACAGGTGTTCAATAACCATGACAGGAGAACATACACTAGATTTTTAGTTCACAAAGTGGTGGTAATCCCCACTGTCCTTTACAGCTGCATGACTTGGGTGACCTATAGAAAACACCTGGAACGCCAGCACCAGCACTTTCTCAGGAAGATCCTCAACATAAACTGGGAGGATCGCTGCACTAACATCAGAGTCCTCACGGAGGCCAATGCCTTCAGTATTGAGGCCCTGATTATCTAGCACTAGCTGAGGTGGAATGGGCACTGTGAGCTCATGCCTGATGCGTGTCTACCAACATAATTGCTATACACCCAACTTACTAAAGGAGAAAGGAAACAGTGAGGCCAAAAGAAATGCTTTAAAGACACCTTTAATACAAACATCAAGAAATGTGGCGTTGAGGCCACGCACTGGGAGACAGTAGCCCAGGTCAGGGTTAACTGGTGAAGACTTGTCAGAGAAGGGATGATCACTTTTGAGGAAAATTGCATTGCCCGGGTCACAGAAAAATGCCAGAAGAGAAAGGACAGACGACTGTCATGGCCCAAACCTGCCTTACAACATCACCCGCAATGAGTTTGCGGCTCAAGGATTGGACTCCTCAGTCACCAAAGGACCCATTAAAGAAAATAAAAACCTGTGGAAGAGATCACCCTCAACACTGAGGGATTGGTGACGATTCTGTATATGGGTTTTTTGGATTTCATCTTATTGCTTTCAGACCAATTCTCCAATTTATCAAGATAATTTTGAATTCTAATCCAGTCCTTCAAAGTGCATGTAACCCCTTCCATACAGCTAACGGTCCCGGTCCTTGACATGTTGGTTTGTGGGAAGCAATGAGACCACTTACAGTAGTAGTGCTAATTCAGACAAGTAAGGGTTTGCAGGCCTGTATTCGTAATAGAGGAGGCCTCTTCTGATGCTTTGACTTTGGTCTGTATATTTAAGCTATTAAAAACTTGAAAGAAATGACAAGCTTTGATATTTGTTGTTTTCATAGTACCTTGTTCTGAAGTCAAGATGTTAAACCTATGTATGTCTGGCCAAATGCCAGGATATAGCCTGATGTGACTTTTGATATCTGTGGAATATAAGTAGAAAATAGAAGTGCTGCAGGACATTGGAGTGTAGGACAAGCATTGAAACACTTATGTCTTAATGCTGGTGGAGTGGTAATACTTTAATTCCTTTGTCTGCTAGATTAAAATAAATTTTAAGTAGTTGAAAAATGTCTCTTTTTCTGTTGTTCCCTGAAATCATTTTTGTTACAAGTTCAGGAGCACTTTTATTGTGCCCACAATACATTCTAGCATTAGCAGAGTGTACAAAGGCCACAGCAACGAGAGTATTTCTTGTGTGCGCTTCGGTTAGCTAAATGCTTAATGTGGTAGGGAGGGGAGCAGGGTATAATAGTTTCACTGCAGGAGTTCTGGGTTTTATTCATGTATCTGCTACTGAGTGTTACTGAGGTATTACCTGCCAAAGGTATCCCTATCTCTGGAATGGGGGAAAATACAGCGGGTGTTGAGATCTAATTAAACGTTCATGAGGTGCTTGATGTCTGCATCTGTGGGCTTGTCTACACTTGCAATGCTACAGCAGTGCTTCAGTGTAGACGCTACCTATACTGATGGGAGGGGTTCTCCTGTCTGTATAGGTAATCCACCTCCCCGAGAGGCAGGAGCCAGGTCCATAGAAGATTTTTTTTCTGTTGACATAGTGCTGTCTACATGGGGACTTGGGTCTTCTTAACTGTGTTGCTCAGGGTTGTGGATTTTTCACATCCCTGATACGTGGGCGGGTCAATCTAATTTTCTAGTATAGCGCAGCCCTAAATAAGGGAGTGCAGTCCCTAACCTCTGTACTATGGAGAAAGAACCAAGGTGAATTATGAACCTTGCTGTACAGGGTCTGCTTAGCAGACCCCTATAATCCCCTAAATTTTGTTTGTTTAGGGTTCGGGTATCTTATAAAAACAAACTAACCCCCCCGCCAGTTTGCCTAAGGAAAGCCTAAGAAGGGCTTGAAGGGTTTGCTTCATTTCAGTTCGCTCCTGTTACTCCACTCTAACTACCCTAGCTCAAGTGAGAGTATGACTACACTGCCAAACACCACTCAAACTAAACAGAGTAACTGGATTAGCAGAGTGATTCGATTAGCAACTGGTGAGTGCTCGAGCTTCAACCCAGCCCACTCTGACAGTTTAAAGCACCACGTTAGCTACGGTAGAGACTAGTGTGGACAGAAGACTGTGTAGGGGCAAAACTAGTGTTTACAGTTCAACCTAACAATGCAGTAAAGACAAACACTAATATGTGCCTCTTGTCTGGAGTCAAGTGTGCACGTTTGTAGCCTGGTGTGCTTAGATGAGGCGGGGACTCATCACAACTGTCATTTTTGTCCTTCTATTATCTGTTTGACCCTCACTTTTATTGTCACATCCTGTCCCTGTGGGGCAGGGACTATATCACACAGAAAGTCACAGGTTTTCATTAAGTCTTTTAGAGAGTCTATGTTGTCCCTTCTCCAGGTGGTGATGAAAGCAGAAAATGCAATGAAATATATGGCAGCCTGGACCGTGGTAAGCAGGAGAAAGAGGGAGGCACGTGTTTTTCATGCATGACAGGTGCCATCGCCTATCATTTTTGAAATATTTAGAAAAAAACAAAGCAAATTCTTGGGTAAAACCTGGAGTTGAGGTTTAAAGACTATCACTCACATTGATTTAAAAAAACCCACTGAGACTGTTGAAATTTCCACATAATTCCCCTCTCTCCTCACCCCCAATAACCAAAAATTGGAAAGTCTGGAAATTCAAAGTTAATTCATTTTTAAAAACATTTCAACCAAAACCACTTGAAAATATGGAGATATTTGGGGTCACCCAAACATCCTTATTGTTTTTGTTTCATAACTATGGCTTTATCCAGAAACCTTGACAATATAAGCCACAAACGGCTGTTGGTTGTCTGATAAAATAAGTCAAATTAACACAATCTTGTTAGACTACTTTATTGTTGATCTAAGAAGGATTTCACACTGCCATTGTTTACATTGCAACCTTGTGTGACTCCTGACTTCTTTGGGGCCATAAACAGAAAGATTTGCACTTGACCACATTGAATTAAAAAAAAAATCATATGTGTAGGGGAGGGAAGGAGAATCATTTGACTTTGATCTCCTCCCCATTCCCACCCCCAAGGATACATCAGAATTCCCCATCTAATAATAGTTTAAATCAGGGGTTCTCAAACATTCATA